TAGGTTTCTGTTTTCTTTGATGTTTTTCTTGTGAGTGTCCAGTTTTTCTTTCTCCTTGTTTCTTAGTTTTTATGGTTTAATTCTTACTTCATTGTGTTCTTTGGGTTTTTTTCTCTGTTACTGTCCGAGTCTTGGTTCTGTTTTATATTCTTTTTAGTGTTTAGTTTTACTTTTCTCAATGTTTTTTTAGTCTAAGTGGTTTGATTATTATTATCCAGGTTTTTCATTTGTTGCCCTCTGCTGCCCTCTCATGTTCTCCTTTTTTCCCTAGCTCCTGTTTTGTTTCTGCTTCTGTGTTCACCTGTTTTCAAACAGCTCATTAGCCCCCTGTTTGTCTCTGTCTTCTTTAAAAGCTCTCTCTGTTCTGTTCCTCTTTGCTGGGTCCTTGTCTTACTTTGTCTTACATGCTCCAACTTCGTCTCTCTGAGCCTTCCTCCTTGAGTTTTGATTCCCTGATGTCTCGATGGTTTTCTGGTTTATGTTCAACTTATTTTTTCATGTTTTGAATTTTGGACTCCTGGTTTCTTGTTTGTTTTTTGGACTTTGTTTTCATTTTTGGATTTTGGATTCTTGTTTGTCTGTTTGTTTGGACTTTGTTTTTTCAGGTACTCTTCATTAAATCAACCATAAATTCACCTCTGCCAACCTGCCTCTGCTTTTGGTCCTCAAGCCACAAACAAATCTTGATGCAAATCCCTGTAAAAGAGGGAGATTAATCACATCCAAAATGGAGGGGGAGATCAAAGGGAATACTTCCTTAAATAACCTGGTTGGGACTGGATCTAATATACAGGTTGAAGGCTTAACATTTGTTTTTGGGCCACTTGGACAACCTTAATGTTAGGGGAAATGAAGACCAAATAGTCCAGCATTAGCCCAGCCCAATGTGTCTGTCTCTGGTCTAAAATTGGATATTTGGCTGATGGTCCTCCCAGTCCAGCATCCACTAGACACTCCATCAGGTTACATAGTCTGCAGTCATCCGCTGAAGGATGCATAGCATAAAATCTGTTGGCGGTCGCTATGTCTTTACACATGGCTGCCAACAATGTTGCCCGCACCTCCGGCAGATGGAAGCTCTTTACCTTTATAAGAAGACAACAATAAATAATGAGTGAAGATGTAACCCTTTTTTTCTACAGCTCTTTTTAGTTGTCTGCAACTCACGTGTGTAGCCAAGGTAGTCCTGATGTTAAGGAACATTGGTCGTCCCGGGAGGCCCAACTCACCTCATCTCACCCTACACCTGCTGTAGCAGCTGGATTAGCTCTGATCTGTCTCTGCTGCAGCAGGATTCAGGATACGCTGCATTCACTCGGTTTGAATCACAGGAACAATAAAAACACTGTGTTCAGGTCCTTCTGAATCGCAGGAAAAAGGCAGTCTGACTCGTTCCAGTAAGCGCAGACTTCTCTGGAGGGATTTGGTTGCTACAGAGCATAGCCTTCAGGTGGGAGCGCTTTTGTCTAGCCGCTAGCGGCGCAGAGCCACCAGTAAAATAGTATGCTAGTATGGGAAGCTAGTGTTTTTAACCTATGCTGGAGGGGTGTGTCTTCAGAGCGATGTACTTCCGTTCAGGATCCGCGACAATTGATTGTAACAGCTCCTTTGCTGACTTCACCTTCACCTGATGTGATGCGACCCTTCTCCGAAGGTGGCTGACACAGGAGTGGAGGATTTGGATCCCCGAAATCATTTGGGCCAGGAGGAGCCTGCTGTGATGGGACCCTCCCCATTGTTCTTAAAGTATTTAAAGAACTGGTGGATGTTCCTCAGGTAGAACATCACAGTTGTAATTTTTTTGCCTCCCTGCAGGAGATGCTCGCTCCATCTGTGTAAAAGGGTTATAAAAGATTATACACAGGTCCTGCTTACTTTTTGGGTTATTGCAGTTTTGTAGGGAGGAGCTTGCCCTTTGGCCATGAGGAAGCTGTCGAGGAATAGCCAGGTACTCAGGTTTATTTCCCCCAGGTCCATATATTGTATGTATGTGTGCAGTCACCTGCTTTTTGCTGGGGTCCACCCCCTCCAAAAACTTCAGGTATTCTTGCAGGTACTTTAGAAAATAATTGGGACAAAATCTTGTTTAGAATTCCAGATGTATTTTAAAGCACCGATATGTGGAGTGGTGGTTCTGGACCCACCAAAGGCAGAACCATGGATCCTTGTAGTGACATAGTACAGTGTCAATAAAGCAATTTAATTTACCTATGAATGACCAGAAGATAATGTGCCTAATAGGCAAGGTGGGGTCCGGTGCTTACACAGCTTCCTTCGCAGCCACGATAGGTGTACCCTGGTTTGATGCAGGACCTCCTGCCACAGCTGAAGAGGAAGTTGAAACACCTACAGTGGTAGGCGTCGGTGTGGGGGGAGGACATTTTTTGCCTCGAATGAAGTAATTAGTACAGCATGTTTTCTCTTTGCTGGAGCTTTTTTGTGGCAGTAATAATATTGGAAGTTTGCATTGTACGTCCATTTGTTTCTATATAATAAACAATAAATAACAATAGTTCACATGTCAATCTTTGCGGCATCCATCTGCAGTGAATATTGATACACCAGTCATTTTTGCTGCCTTTTATCAACCACCTAGCCACACTGTTCAATTGGAGGGTGGGGGCAGTGGCAAAGTAAACAAAGGCGGGCTTGCAAATAGACAATCCTCTGCATAAGAGGCTTTTTCGGAGACTTCCGAAGTCTGCAGTCTCAAAAGTGGAAAACAAACAATCTTTGCAGCGTCCATCTTCAGTAAATGTTGATACACTGGTAATTTTTGCTGGCTTATACAGTATCTGCCATGATTGCAGCCCCCGTAGCTTCTCTGATTACTCACTTCATTCACCTGCCGTTTCCTCCCCGCTTTCTAATTATCATTTATCTTATTCACCTGCTTCCTCTGCAAGATATATGGTTCAGCCCAGCTATTGGGGCCAGATCATTATTCTTTATTATTAGTTTATTCTTTGTTTATATGTGTTATGTTTTCGTGTCAGTTATTTATGTTTGTTTATGTTTTTTTGACTCCTTTCTCCTGGTTGTGTCCCGGCTCTTCTCCCCTGAGCCCTCAGTGTTTTGGCTTGGAACCCGGGTAAGGTCAGTTTTAATTCATGTATGCCTGGCTCCAAGGTGGAGGCCAGTTTAAAGTTCAGCATTGATCCTGGTACCATGTCTTGTCTATGTTCCCCTCTACCATTGAGCCTGCCTGTCTGCTTATGCGCATGTCTGTCTTAGCATGCTGCTGGACTCATAGAACTCTGAACCTGCCTGAACGCTCCGTGGATTTGTGGAACCCTGGATCTGTCTATTCCTGTTCGGATCAGAACCCCTGGTCAGGCTATGGATTTCTGGATCTCGCAAGTGTCCGGTTCTGAACCGTTTCTCTGACCTGGATGGGATTACATTCCTGGCCCAGGCATTTGGGCCAGGAATGTAAAATATTGTTCTAAATGAGGAGAGCAAATATTTCTCTCAGGGCCTGGTATTATTTAGCTATGCAGCCGTAGGTGACTGATAACTTCTGACCCCTCCTGATAACATCAAACCCCTTCTGGTAACTTTTTACCACTCCTGTAATTCCTTTGAAGTCCAATAATAAAGGCAGCAGAAAAGAGAGGTTTGGGCAGAGTTGAGTACAGACTTTTCAAGGGGTCTCAACCTTGGTCTGTCCTTTCTCTCTCTTTTCTGCAAGAAAGAAAATAATTGCTTTGTTTGGTTTTCATTTCTAGGAGAATAAGTGGTTATGATTATTAACCTTATCAACTGAGTCTATTTGTCCCGTTTTATGACAGTATCAACCACCTCGCCAAACTGTTCACTTGGAGGGCAGGGACTATAACATAGGAGACAAAGGCCAACTTACAAACAGACAATGACATGCCCCCTCTGCATACAAGGGAATCTCTGAAAAAAAGCCTACTGTATTTCAAGCCTAGAATTTACACTTTAAAGTATAGAAATACTGCGGTCTCAAACGTGGAAAGGCGCATGTCCTTTGATTCCATGATGGGTTATGTTTATATTCTGTGATGAGTTTGAACTCTAGGGTTAGAGCCCCTGCTCTCAATCACCCTAATCATAAACTCCCTCCCCAGATTCTGTATCAGATTCAGGTCAGGATTACTCTTATACCATATTTACATTACTTGCTACAGTTGTTTCAGATCACAAACTGCTTCATGAATTGTGTAGTAGAATGTCAGATATTGTAAACCAGGCTACTTGGTTTTAGTAATCACATAGCATTCCATATAACCATGCAAGGACCAAGGTTACAATGATGGAACTTAAATATAATAATGAAAAAGAGAGAGGTTAGGTTATGATTGTGTGTTTATTGTCAAGCTACACACTGAAAGGGCTTATGACAATAAGACACCTGGATACAACATACCCTCATGAAATGATGTTGCTGCCGTTTTACTTCACAACTGGGAAGGTGTTGCTTGGCTTGCCAGTTTACTTTTTTGTTCTTCAAGTATCATCATAAGCAATTACATTATGAAAAAAAACTTAAGTTTACTACTTTAATTCAAATAACAATATCTTTAAATACATTTGTTCACCATTTGAACAAAGAAAAAATGAAAAAGTTTCATTTCTTTATTTGCCACATAAAAAACAACGTAACTTAATGCAGTCATTATCAGGCTGGTTTTAGGTAACTTTAAAAACGCGATTGTTATGGTGCTGGTCATAAACTATAATATACATTTATTCAAAGAAATAGTTCTTAGATTTCTTGTCACTGATTGGATTTGATGGGTCCTGTTATTTTAAATATTGGAGGAGATAGAGAGAGATGGAAACATAGAGGGTCACAAAACAATTGTTTACTAAGACAATTGGGGCAATAAAAAAGCCTTTAACAATCAAAGAGAAAACCTTTCCAAATCAAAGACTCTCAACATTAAGAAGTGGTTAATGAAAGAAATAATTTTCAGTGCAAAGACATTGAGTTTTGTTTATAACTCAAAATAAAACACAAACAGTTTTGCTTGTTTTTCAGAACATCTTCCAAACTAAAACAGGAGAAGCAACAGTGGGAAGAGAGTGTAAGAGCTCAACAGTGTTAGCCAAGTAAAGGTAAGAACACATAAGCACAAATAAACAAATCCATCTGTGTATTGCCATGGAGGTTACTCAAGAGGTTCTATATCAATGGTACACTAAACATCATAAAGCAGAAGTAAAAAGTTCATTATAATTTGTCAGGAGACAGATTTGTCAATCACAACAGATTTGTATTGGAAAAATCTCCCTGAAATAATTTCCCCTGAATGATCATTTTAACAGCCCTTCTAAACCACCTGTAGAAGAAAGCATAAACGAGTGGATTTAACATAGAATTGGACCATCCAATCCATTTAAATATTTCCACCAATATATCTGGTATCATAACTTTTCTTAGCCTGTAAAACCCTATAGACAGAAAGAAAGGAGTCCAACATATAAGAAAGACCCCCATCACAATTGCAAGAGTTTTGTCAGCTTTTTTCTGTGTCTGACCAACAGCTGCGCCACACTTTACAGTGTTCTGGATGAGGCGTGCCTGTTTTTTTGCCACCACCAGAATCTTTAGATATATAGTTAAAATTATAATAGCAGGAATGTAAAATGCAAAAATTGATCCAGTAATGGATTCCTTTGTAGCTAGAAAAAATTTGCACCTATTGCTAGGGTCCTCCATGCCTATCCCACGAACTGTTACAGCGGTTGCAAGCAGCAGGGGAAGAAGCCAGCTTATCAAGATCATATTCAGAGAAACGCGAACATTTATTTTATTCCTATATGTTAGAGGATGACACACTGCATAATATCTATCAATAGATATACAGCATAAGTTTAAAATGGATGATGTACAGAGTAGAATATCAAACAGACCTCGCATTTTACAGAGTAAATAACCCGAATACCAGCATGAGCTCATAGACAATATTGCACTGAAAGGCAAAACTAAAGCTCCAACAAGCAGGTCAGTCACAGCCAGAGAGAGGATGAGGAAGTTTGTTGGACTGTGAAGCTGTTTAAAGTAAACAACAGAGATGATTACAAGAAGATTCCCACATATTATCAGAAGTGACAAAGAAAAAACAACAATACTCAATGCATAAGAGGTCATAGTGTGTCCCTGCATCTCTGCTGATTCATTACAGAGACGCTGGTCTACAATCATATCATCAATCCTATGATAATAACTGCATCATTAAAAAGAGAAGGTTAGAATGTAGCCTTATGTATTGTACAATATGTTGTTTTCAGTGAGCGTGGAGTAATATGTGTCCCTTTGTCTCCTTTATTAGAGGTATTATTCTATATCTGTCTTCTGATTGGCTGTTCATGAGTGTGACTGGGGCTTCTTTGGTATCCAAGGTGAGATGTTCCCTGGTGTTTATTTAAGGAGCTATTCTTATTTTAGTTAAATATGGTTGTGTTATTGTACTTTAATGTTTTTATTGTATGAATGCAGTAAAATGCAATGGATTTACTATAGTTCTATTGCATTGATATGATTACTAATGAGTTCTCTTAGTATTTAGAAGTTTTATTTTCAAACTTCCCAGGTAGAAAAAAACACCTCCAGGTTGGAATGCCAGCTGGTAATAGCAGTTTAATATCCATTATAGTTGTAGATTTTTTCTGAAAAATGTTTATAATGACTCCTTGTAATGTTTACTTCAATAAAATTGGATTGTGCTCTAAAATATTTTTGTGGACACATCTCTTATGCATCTAAACAAATAAGGCAGTTCTGTTTTTTCAAAACTGTGGTTGGAAAAAAAACATCAAAAATCAAGATTTTTCTGCTTTTTTGACATTACGTCAAAGTTGTATTATTAGCTCCCTTCTTAGGCAGTTTAATGTATTTTTCTAATACGGTATAAAATTATGACATTTACTGCTGCCCCATTTTCTGGGAAATCATATGTTCCTTTTAGATTCATGATTGAATTTTCTGTCCCCCAAAATTATGAAAAACAATTTGTTTTGTTGTAATATTTTGTGTTAGTGTCCTCTCTCTCCCACATTTGGGGAGAACAGTGTTCTTAAAACTTGGCAGATTTGGAAGAACTTTTAACACTTGGACTCCCAGGATTCCGATCCTGCTACATCTCCCATTGGCCGTCAATTGGACGGATGACATTGGGATTGTTGTGGCGGAAGGTTCGCAAGCAAGTTTGGTTGTGGTCTATTTTGTCCGAAGCATCTTGCTAACCTGTTAGCATCTTAGTGCTAGTAGGTTCTCAATGGGAAATTCCATTGGGACCAAGTAGAACTAAATTGGTGACTTAGAAACGACACTGTCAAGGAACGCTATGGACAGAGGAAACATGCAAGAGGAGGAGAGTTTAGTGTCGGAG